TCTCAGAACTTTTGAAATGCCCCTCGTATATACAGAACAAATCTTTTAAAAAGATCTGCATCACCCAAGTTACTCAGGTGAGCGATGTGGCCCATGGGCCTCTTGTTTATATGTTATTATAGGTAGCAAAGATGTCTAATAAGAAAGCGTACACAATTTCCATTGAATTTTTATGGCTACAATTTCAGAAGTTCTTTTTCCAAAATATATTAAATTAGTTAATTTTTTGTGTTACCTCAGCCCTATTCCATGTTCCCTGATGATATATAGTTAATCTTTCTAGGGTTTTTCAAATTGAATAGCCTTCTACAAGTAATAAATCTTCATAACCCTCTTAGACGCTTTTAGAGGGACCCTTTAGATACCCCTTGGTCACGTGACTAGTATATGTTGGTTTTGCAAATAAATTATAAAATATGACAGAGAAAACATTACTGGACATAACTGAAGGAATTATTTTGAAATTCATCATGGGCCAAAAAATAGCCTTATGGAAACCGTACCTTTGTTACAATGAAGGCTACACTGTCCTCTAATGGGACATGAATACAAATTAATAAAGTAACATTTAAATGCATTTTATAATGTCAAGCAAACTTAAGAGTAATTAGCAAACCCTTCTAGTTGATGCAATCAAAGTCAGTGAATGCATCCGCAAAAGAACGTAGCAATATATCGATTTTTGAATATAGATGTCAAAATGTTTTTTACCATCTCCTTTTCTGTTAATTACCCATCAGTACTGAATAAATATGGATGGCACCTTTTTGGATTTTTTAGCTCACCTCAACGAAGTCGAGATGAGCTTATGCTATACCCCCGGCGTCGGCGTTAGCGTCGGCGTCCCAGGTTAAAGTTTTAGGAGCAAGTCCATTCCCAAGTAACTATAAGTCCTACCTGAACCAAACTTGCATGGATGATGCATCTAGGGTTGAACACTACCAGACTTGCTTCGGATGCTGGATTTGACCTACATTTTCTAGATGAGTAACCAGGATAAAGTTTTTGGAGCAGGTCAATTCCCAAGGAACTATAAGCTCTACCTGGTCTAAACTTGCATGGATGATGCATCTAGGAAAAGACACTACATTTTCCAGATGAGTGACCAGGCTAAATTTTTGGAGCAGGTCCATTCCACAGAAACTATAAGCCCTATTTGGACCAAACTTGCATAGAGGATGCATCTAAGGATGTACACTACCAGACTTGCTTTGGATGCTGGATCTGACCTACATTTTCATTCCCAAGTAACTATAAGCCCTACCTGAACCAAACTTGCATGGATGATGTATCTAGGGATGTACACTACCAGGCTAGCTTTGGATGCTGGATCTGACCTACATTTTCATTCCCAAGTAACTATAAGCCTATTTGGACCAAACTTGCATGGATGATGCATCTAAGGATGGACACTACCAGACTTGCTTCGGATGCTGGATCTGATCTATATTTTCATTCCCAAGTAACTATAAGCCCTACCTGAACCAAAATTGCATTGATGATGTTTCTAGGGATGGACACTACCAGACTAGCTTCAGATGCTGGATCTGACCTACATTTTCATTCCCAAGTAACTATAAGTCCTACCTGAACCAAACTTGCATGGATGATGCATCTAAGGATGGACACTATCAGACTTGCTTTGGATGCTGGATCTGACCTATATTTTCCAAACAAGAGACCAGGTTAAAGTTTTGGGAACAGATCAATCCAAATGAACTTGAAGTCCTTGATATCTGCAGTATTAACAAAGTCATGAATATTTGTTAACACTATACATGTTTTTCACTATACACGCGTAGAAATGTGTATATGCCATGTAAGGGGTTAAACACAACTTGCAAGAATATTGTTGTTGGGATGATACTAAATATTAAGAAAATATGATGTGAGATTCCCATTACTTAAACTGATAACAATCGTCGAGGTGAGCTTCGTAATCTTTGATTACTTATGTTTTAAAATTGAAATACCGACATTAATTATAGATTAATAGAAAAAAATAATGTAATACTAGAAAACAGTAAATCTATTTTGTGTTTTCAATTTACAACGTAAAAACGTGTCATTTTATAAAACTGTCACTGTATTAACGAGATCCTACTGTATTATTTATAGAAGGCTTTTGACATTGAAACTCAAACATCCAACCTCAATACTTCCTATTTAACAAATCCTATTAAGTACTCTTTTCTTTATTTGTTTCATTTCATAATACACCGATTTTTTCAACTTAATGCTTGACACCATATGTTTAAGTCACCATGTAGTTACGGAAGCGACACATTACTTTTTTAGCTCACCTCAACTTTGTCCGTTGTCTGTCGTCGTTGTCGTCGTCGTTGCTGGCCTTATCGTAAACTTTTCACATTTTCATCTTCTTCTCAAGAACCAATGGGCAAATTTCAACCAAACTTGCCACAAACTATCAATATCCTTTGGTAACAGTGATTCAAGTTTGTTCAAATGAAGGGCCACACCCTCTTCCAAGGGGAGATAATTATGGATTAGTAAAACATTCATGGCATTTTTTCAAAAATCTTATTGTCAAGAACCACTGGGCCAGGAAATATGAAACTTATGTGGAATCATCCTCAGGTATTGTAAATTCAAGTTTGTTCAAATCATGACCCCGGGGGTAAGGGTGGGGCCGCATTGGAATATTAACGTTTTCTATAGGAATATATAGGAAAAATCTTTAAAATTCTTCTCAAGAACAACAAAGTCATGATTGGTCATATTTTTATGGAAGCATCCTAAGGTGGTGTAGATTCAAGTTTATTCAAATTATGACCCCCAGGGGTAGGGTTGGTCCACAATGGATTATTGAAGTTTATCATTGGAAAATATAAGTAAAATCTTCAAAAATCTTCTCAAGAATAGGAAAACCATGTTTGTTCATATCCTTATATAGGAAAGATTCAAGTTTGTTCAAATCATAACCCCTCTCCCTTACCCATTCTGCCTTTAAAGGGTAGGTTGGGACCACTTACGCATTGAAGCTTTTGAATACTAAACTGGTTTTTAGTTCACCTGAGCCAAAGGCTGAAGTGAGCTTTTCTGAATCAAAATTTGTCCGTTGTCTGTTGTCGTTGTAAACTTTTCACATTTTCATCTTCATCTCAAGAACTACTGGGCCAATTTCAACCAAACTTGGCACCTTGAGTATCCTTGAGTGAACGGAATTCAAATCTATTCAAATGAAGGGGCAAGCCCTCTTCCAAGGGGAGATAATGATGAATTAATGAAAAATTAATGGCATCTTTTAAAAATCTTCTTCTCCAGAACCACTGGGCCAGGAAAGATAAACTCATTTGGAAGCATCCTCAGGTAGTGTAGATTCAAGTTTGTTCAAATCATGACCCCTGGGGTAGGGTGGGACCACAATGACGGATCAAAGTTTTACGTAAGAATATATAGGAAAAAAATTGAAATTCTTGTTCTCCAGAACCACTGGGTCAGGAAAGATGAAACTCATGTGGAAGCATCCTCTGGTAGTGTAGATTCAAGTCTGTTCAAATCATGATCCATGGGGGTAAGGCGGGGCCACTATGGCCGATCAAAGTTTTACACAGGAATATAAAGGAAAAATCTTTTAAAATCTTGTTCTTCAGAACCATTGGGCCAGGAAAGATAAAACTCATGTGGAAGCATCCTCAGGTAGTGTAGATTTAAGTTTGTTCCAATTATGACCCATGGGGGTAGGGCGGGGGCACAATGGCTAATCAAAGTTTTACATAGGAATATATAGGAAAAATCTTTAAAAGTCTTCTTCTCTAGAACCACTGAGCCAGGAAAGATGAAACTCATGTGGAATCATCCTCACGTAGTGTAGATACAAGTTTGTTCAAATCATGACCCCCAGGGGTAGGGCGGAACCACAGGGCTGATCAAAATTTAACATAGGAATATATAGGAAAAATCTACTCCAGAACCACTGGGCCAGGAAAGATGAAACTCATCTGGAATCATCCTCAGGTAGTGTAGATTTTAGTTTGTTCAAATGGTAACCCCCAAGGATTGATGGGGCCCCAAAGGTCGATCAAAGTTTTACATAGAAAAATAAAGGAAAAATCGCAAGAACAGAAAAGCTATGTTTAGTCATAATGACATCTAAGCATCCTTAGCTCATGTATAGAAGATTTAAATTTGTTCAAATCATGGCCCTTTGGAGTAGGGAGGGTACCCCCCCCCCCCTCCCCCCCGTAAACTTTTCAGGTCTGATCTGACCTGTGCTTTTTCTTAACCGATGTGCTCAGCTCAGGGATGTGGCCCCCGGGCCTCTTGTTTTTTTTTCCTAGCTACAATACTCAGATAAGCAATGTGGCCCCTGGGCCTCTTGTAATTGCTTGCTACAATATTTTCTTTATACTTGTTTTTGATTGATTGATTGTATATTGTTTAACGTCCCTCTCGAGAATTTTCCACTCATATGGAGACGTCACCGTATGCAGGTGAAGGGCTTCAAATTTAGACCTATACTCAGAACTAAGGCCCACTGCGCAGTGAGAGTTCTTTAGGAAACGGGACCTACGTTTTAAGGTCATATCCGAAAGACCCGTAACTTTCACTTCTGATGCCGAGCACTTGGTGAAGGAACAGTCGCTACCTATTTTTAAGTCTTAGGTTTGACGCGTCGCCGGTAACGAGAATTGAACCCGGGCCTCTCGATCACGAAGCGAGTGCTCTACTTTTAGGTTACCGTGAACAGTATACTTGTTCTTGAATATTAAAAGTCCTTTTTGTTTACGAAGTTTTCCTTACTCTAAAAGTCCATGGTATAATTTTTATATTGAATTATGCGTGTTCAGTGGATTATTTTTACCCTCCCTAATATTGTTCTTAAAATTTGCTTCTGTGTTGAATTATGCTTCCGTTCCTTTAGGTTGGAACAGTTCTGGCAATTGTGTTTGAATACTACACAGTTACTTAAACTGTACAAAGCATTGATATTGTTGATAGCAATAATTAATATTCGATATCAAATCATTTTTTACCAGGAGAAAGAAAAGTTTTTTCGTGAGATATGGACGAGCTTGGAAACAAAGGATGCGTCTCTGCAAAGGCATTTTGACAGGAAAAGGATGTTTGCTGTTGGATTCCACGAGAATGAATGCATTGAAAAAATCAAGCTGTCAGTTGTTGATGTTGTCAAAAACCTTGATCACTGGGGTGAGAAACTTCCATACTCATGGGCGATGTTTGAAAAATTCTTCCAGGAAAAGAAAAACCTTAAAATAATCAACAAAGAGACACTTTTGGCTTTCAATGAAGCATTGCCACAGGAAATGAGGTTGGAAACAGTCGAACATATTCACACCATGCTGCAGTTTTTCCATGACATCAGAGAAATTTTACACTTTAACCAAGAATCTCTCAGAGGAATAATAATTCTTGATGTTCAGTGGTTTGCAGATGCGTTCAAAAATGTAATCACAGATAAAAACCATGCAGCAGAAGATTTATTTAAGCTTGCCTCACAATGGAACAAATTTAATGAAACTGGAGAACTGAGTGACACACTGCTGTCTGCGATATGGGAAATGAACAACAATGGGTACCTTGAACACAAAGAAGATATCATGCGCTACATGGAGAAGCTAGGACTCCTGGCTAAAACGAATGAAAACAAATGGTATGTTCCCTGTATGAACAAGAGACCATTTCCTGCAGATTGCTTTTCATTATACCCTGCCTCATCCATCCTCTGCTACACGTTTGATGTTCTTCCTGCTGGAATTTTCCATCGTCTTGTAGCAACTTGCATGCAGATTCCTTGGGAGATTTTTAATGATGGAGATAGAGGATGCATATACCAGACTGCGGCCGTTTTCATGTTTCATGACCTGTGCCATAACATTCTGATCGGAATGACCCAAACAGAGATTCAGCTGCAGGTGTTTGTTACAGACAGAGAGGAAGAAGTTGATGTCTTAACGTGTCACCAGATCAGAGAAAGAATTGAAAGTATACTGAGCAATCTTGCCAACACGTTTCAGAAAAACTCTGGATTCGATGTTGCTTTCAAATGCAAACCTGTTGGATTCTGTGACAACAAAGAAAGCGCTGTCATAAAGGAATCTATGTTTACAAGAGCGAGTTTTCAATGTCCATCCTGTCCAGCGAATAAAAAGCATCCAATAAACACAAAAGATATCACAAAATATTGGAAAAAGGTTCTGTAGAATATAATTTTGGCTTTATTAAACTCTATACTTTGATTAAACAATAATATAATAAATTAGTTAAATGATGACCTTGTGAAATTTGAGAAGAAAAAATATTCTAAAATTTACTGTTTCTGATTAAAGCTTTTATAACAATGAAATAAAAGAAAATATTTTTGATGATTCCATGAAGAATTCTGAATGTATGAAACTATTTAAAAAATGAAGTAAAGTTCTTGATTATAATTGTTAAATTCTTATATTAAAGGAGGTGGAAATTTACGTTATATAAATTTAAATTCAATCTATAGTGATTCTTTATTCTGTCTCATTTTAAACAGGAGCTTCAAAAGAGGTCTCATCTTAAGGAGGAAAACGTCTCAGGTGTGTATCTTTTTATTCAGTCAATTTTAACTTATTCCGTAGAGATCAGTATACAGAATTTAAAGAGTCTTCGGCATGTGCACTCTCTTTCTTTTGAGATTGGTAGAAAATGCATGATGAAAAAATCATCAATTATTTTATTTGGACAGTTGAAATTATGTTTGAGGAAAGGTAGATAATTTTAACACACCCCTCCTTCCTTTGAAGAAAGAAGGGCATATTGCTTTCCTGCTGTTTATCGGTAGGTTGGGCGGTCCGTTGTCCACCAAATTTCTGTTCATTTGCTTCGTAGAAGTTGCGAATATTGAAATTAAATTTGGTATACATATTCATCATAAGAATATCTGGATAAAGATCTATTTTGGGTATGACAAATTAATTTTGGACAAATTATCCCCCTGGGATTAGAAAAAATCCAATTATTGGGTGCATGAGGGGAGCATGCCTGTTTCGTAAATATTTCTTGTCTGATGATCTAATTTTTGAACGACTAAAGGATGACGTTTACTCGGGTTTCAGAAGACAGAAAGGGAATTTTATAAAGTATATTATGTTAAATTAAAAATTGTTCTAAATGAATAAAATTGCCAAGTTTTTACTTAATATCAATTTACGAATTTCTTATTTTATCATTTAAAGAAAATATACAGGAACAAAAGGTAATATGCTAATGCAGAGGAAATTCGAACTTAATTTTTATGCCCCGCCATGAATATGGCCGGGGCATATAGTGTTTGTCATGTCCGTCTTCCGTCCTTCCGTCCTTCCGTCCTTCCGTCCTTCTGTCCTTCTGTCCTTCCGTCCTTCTGTCCTTCCGTCCTACCTGAACCAAACTTTCATGGATGATGCATCTAGGGATGAACACTACCAGACTTGCTTCGGATGCTGGATCTGACCTATATTTTCATTCCCAAGTAACTATAAGCCCTACCTGAACCAAACTTTCATGGATGATGCATCTAGGGATGGACACTATCAGACTTGCTTCGGATGCTGGATCTGACCTTTATTTTTATTCCCAAATAACTATAAGCCCTACCTGAACCAAACTTGCATGGATGATGCATCTAGGGATGGACACTACCAGACTTGCTTCGGATGCTGGATCTGACCTATATTTTCATTCCCAAGTAAATATAAGCCCTACCTGAACCAAACTTGCATGGATGATGCATCTAGGGATGAACACTACCAGACTTGCTTCAGTTGCTGGATCTGACCTATATTTTCATTCCCAAGTAACTACAAGCCTTACCTGAACCAAATCTGCGTGGATGATGCATCTAAGGATGGACACTACCAGACGTGCTTCGGATGCTGGATCTGACCTTCATTTTTATTCCCAGATAACTATAAGCCCTACCTGAACCAAACTTGCATGGATGATGCATCTAGGGATGGACACTACCAGACTTGCTTCGGATGCTGGATCTGACCTATATTTTTATTCCCAAGTAACTATAAGCCCTACCTGAACCAAACTTGCATGGATGATGCATCTAGGGATGGACACTACCAGACTTGCTTCTGATGCTGGATCTGACCTATATTTTCATTCCCAAGTAACAATAAGCCCTACCTGAACCAAACTTTCATGGATGATGCATCTAGGGATGGACACTACCAGACTTGCTTCGGATGCTGGATCTGACCTATATTTTTATTCCCAAGTAACAATAAGCCCTACCTGAACCAAACTTTCATGGATGATGCATCTAGGGATGGACACTACCAGACTTGCTTCGGATGCTGGATCTGACCTATATTTTTATTCCCAAGTAACTATAAGCCCTACCTGAACCAAACTTGCATGGATGATGCATCTAGGGATGGACACTACCAGACTTGCTTCGGATGCTGGATCTGACCTATATTTTTATTCCCAAGTAACTATAAGCCCTACCTGAACCAAACTTGCATGGATGATGCATCTAGGGATGGACACTACCAGACTTGCTTCGGATGCTGGATCTGACCTATATTTTCATTACCAAGTAACAATAAGCCCTACCTGAACCAAACTTGCATGGATGATGCATCTAGGGATGGACACTACCAGACTTGCTTCGGATGCTGGATCTGACCTATATTTTTATTCCCAAGTAACTATAAGCCCTACCTGAACCAAACTTGCATGGATGATGCATCTAGGGATGGACACTACCAGACTTGCTTCGGATGCTGGATCTGACCTATATTTTCATTCCCAAGTAACTATAAGCCCTACCTGAACAAAACTTACATGGATGATGCATCTAGGGATGGACACTACCAGACTTGCTTCGGATGCTGGATCTGACCTATATTTTCATTCCCAATTAACTATAAGCCCTACCTGAACCAAACTTTCATGGATGATGCATCTAGGGATGGACACTACCAGACTTGTTTCGGATGCTGGATCTGACCTATATTTTCCAAACAAGCAATTCAGCTGCATCACTATTCTGGATATTCTGATCAAATTTTATATACATACAAATTTTCATGTTGCTTTACTAATATATCCTCGGCGGGGCATTCATGTCCTATGGACATATTTCTAGTTAAATTTTCATTTTTCTCAAAAAATAGTTTCTCGTAATATTAAATACAATGTAAAGGCAACATGTATTTTTAAAACATCATTATGCACATAGTATGTGTGTTTGAGCTCATGAATTATTTTAAATAATTGAATGCTATGAATAAAGAAATTAAAAAAAAAATTACTACAAACCCTTCCAGAAAACATGTCTCGATTATTTGATCATTGAACTTATTACATCATTGAAATAAATAGGAATAATTTTCGTCTCAAGAATCACTATGCAAGAAAAGCTCAAACTTATTTGGAAGAATATGGATATTGTTGATTCTAAATTGTTTCCATCATGTCCCTCTAAGATAGGGCGGTGCCACAATGTGTTATCTAAGTTTCACCCCGGAACATATAGAAAAAGTCTTCTTCTCAAGCATCACTAAATCAGAAAAGCTTATATGGAGGCTTCCTGGGGGTAATGTAGATTCTAAATTGTATAAATTGTGATCCATTGTAGTTGTATGGGACGACAATAGGTAGTACAAGACGTCAAATTGGTAAAGAGCCACAGGACCAAATTGTTATCCTGGCGAGCGCTGTTGCTCATCAGCCTCTTGTTTGGAAATAACATACAAACCAGTCCAGTTTCATTACAGAACTTGAATTGGAAGTGATTTATGCTGCTGTCTAAAATTATTTTCATCATTGTTTTATCATATGATTTTATTAATTTATTAAAGGTATCAGTATAGTTGATAAAACATGTACACGTAGCATGCATGCAAACTTGTTGATGAACTACAGGAGACAAAATGTCTATAGAATAATTGTAGAAGTGGTGACAGATGAAAGCAACGTGTTAACATATAACGTGAAATACTTCACCTTTGCTTCTTTCTATAACGATTCCAGTTGAACTCGTACCATGGACATTCTTAGCTCAGAAATTGTTGAGTAAAGGGGTTGTAACCACGTTATATCAAAGAATAAAGCAAAACTTAATGATAATGACTGTTTAAAAGTTTAATTTCCATTTTTATGTTTCAGCCTTAGAACTGATTTTAAATGTGGTTTCAAAGAAAATGCGTGACACAACATGCTTTCTATTGGCGAGGCATTTTGATGTCGAGGAAGACACTTCCACAAGAAATTTTGAAGAGCAAGTATTTAGAATTCTATACAAGTGGTTATGTAAAAATCCCAACATCGACCACTTGAATGAGTTGGAGAGAATTCTAAAAGAGGCTGACCAAGGGAGAGCTGCAGAATATGTTAGGGCATTCAATATGGCGGATTTTCAATGCAAAGATGTTCCGAGTCCGAGTCTGTCGGTGTCTGAGAAAGAATTCCATATACTGTCTCAATATCTTCCGAAAAATTACACTCACTTTGTGCGACTTTTGGGCCTTCAGCAGAGAAGTATAGAAAAGATTGAGGAAAACTTTCAGAAAATAGAGAAGAGGGTATATGAAGCTCTCTTACAAACAAGAGAGGAATGTCCGGCTCTATGCCGCCAGGACTTGTGTAGAGCATTGACATTTCTAGAGCGAAATGATGTCATTGAGGCTCTGAAAGCTTTCTGGAAATTGTAACAGGAAATCTTGAAATAACGATTCTACAGTCTTAAAAGACCAAAAAAAAATTAATGTAAAAAATTTTTAAAGATAATTTTATACAGTCATCTTTATTATTTCTAATTTTGTACATTATGCATATATCATTTTTTAGAGCAGCTGAATTTATTCAGGTGACCTCTTTATATGTGCTTTTTTTCCGTCGGCGTGCTTCGTTAGATGTGAGTTAACATTTAAACAATTTCAGCTTCTCTGAAACTGCGAAACCAATTTCAACCTATTTTGACAAATTACATTGGTGGAGAAAGTGTTGTGATTTTTAGCTCTACTGGTCAGAGATAAGAAGAGCGTATGCGATGGTAATGCGTCCGTCGTCCGTCTGTCTGTCTGTCTGTCTGTCTGTCCGTCTGTCTGTCTGTAAACAATTTTTCAAAATGCTACTCCTCCTACAGTTTTGCTCTGATTTCAATATAACTTGGCACACAAGTAGACTACACTAAGATACATAATTCTGTGTATCGGTTTTTGATTTCGATAAACGGTGTTGCCGTGGTTACTAAAAATAGAAATTTCTGTGAAATTCTTTCAAAATGCTACTCCTCCTACAGTTTTGGTCTGATTTCAATATAACTTGGCACACAAGTAGACTACACTAAGGTACATAATTCTGTGTATCGGTTTTAGATTTCGATGAACGGTGTTGCCGTGGTTACTAAAAATAGAAATTTCTGTGAAATTCTTTCAAAATGCTACTCCTCCTACAGTTTTGGTCTGATTTCAATATAACTTGGCACACAAGTAGACTACACTAAGATACATAATTCTGTGTATCGGTTTTAGATTTCGATGAACGGTGTTGCCGTGGTTACTAAAAATAGAAATTTCTGTGAAATTCTTTCAAAATGCTACTCCTCCTACAGTTTTGGTCTGATTTAAATATAACTTGGCAAACAAGTAGACTACACTAAGATACATAATTCTGTGTATCGGTTATTGATTTCGATGAATTGTGTTGCCGTGGTTACTAAAAATAGAAATTTCTGTGAAATTCTTTCAAAATGCTACTCCTCCTACAGTTTTGGTCTGATTTCAATATAACTTGGCACACAAGTAGACTACACTGAGATACATAATTCTGTGTATCATTTTTTTATTTCAATGAACGGTGTTGCCGTGGTTACTAAAAATAGAAATTTCTGTGAAATTCTTTCAAAATGCTACTCCTCCTACAGTTTTGGTCTGATTTCAATATAACTTGGCACACAGGTAGGCTACACTAAGATACATAATTCTGTGTATCGGTTTTTGATTTCGATGAACGGTGTTGCCGTGGTTACTAAAAATAGAAATTTCTGTTAAATACTCTCAAAATGCTACTCCTCCTACAGTTTTAGTCTGGTTATAATATAATGTGGCATGCAGGTAGACTACACTAAGAACATGAAAAGACTTAATCAAGGATCATTATTCTATTTATTGCTGTTGAAAAGTTTCAATTTCCAACTGCGTAAGTTCTTTTCTTTTCCTTTGCTATAAGTACAAACCAGTAGAGCTTCAGTCTCGACAGAGACTTCTGGTTTTAAATTTATTGCCCATGCTCCCCTGGGGCCTGAGGGATGGGGCTTAAACCATAAAAATTAATGAATTAAAAAATCTCCTTCACTCATGGATATCAAACAGCCAAACTGTTGGCATGATTTTAGTAAACATTACCCCCTCTATCAAAATTGTGAAATAAATAGCACCAGGGTCAGGGTGGGGCCAAATCCACTAAAATTATTGCAATCTTCAAAAATCTTCTTCTTTACTCCTGGACATCAAGCAGGCAAACTGTTAGCATGAATGTAATGAGCATTGAGTCCTCTACCAAAATTATGAAATTCATGGCCCCAGGGTCAGGCGTTCTAGTGCTAGGGCGGGGCTATATAGATTATATAGTGAAAATGCATTATTTCTTTGGAAATCTTCTTCTCTGCTCCTGGGTATTAAATAAACTATCTAAGTACATAGTTATGATGAGCAAGAGTGCCTCTTCCAGATTTGCGAATTTTATGGCCCCAGGGTCAGGGACTCTGGTGTTAGGGCGGGGCTCTATAGATTATATAGTGATATTGCAATTATTCTTTGAAAATCTTCTTCTCTGCTTTTGGGTGTTAAATATACTAACTAAGTACATAGTTATGATGAGCAAGAGTGCCTCTTCCAGTTTGTGGTGAATTTTATAGCCCCATGGTCAGGGGTTCTGGTGTTAGGGCGGGGCTCTATAGATTATATAGTGAAATTGCATTTATTCTTTGAAAATCTTCTTCTCTGCTTCTGGGTATTAAATAAAGTAGCTTAGTACATAGTTATGATGAGCAAGAGTGCCTCTTTCAAATTTGTGAATTTTATGGCCCCAGGGTCAGGGGTTCTGGTGTTAGGGCGGGGCTCTATAGATTATAAAGTGAAACTGCATTATTTTATTCTTTGAAAATCTTCTTCTCTGCTTCTGGGTATTAAATAAACTAACTAAGTACATAGTTATGATGAGCAAGAGTGCCTCTTTCAAATTTGTGAATTTTATGGCCCCAGGGTCAGGGGTTCTGGTGTTAGGGCGGGGCTCTATAGATTATATAGTGAAATTGCATTTATTCTTTGAAAATCTTCTTCTCTGCTTCTGGGTATTAAATAAACTAACTTAGTACATAGTTATGATGAGCAAGAGTGCCTCTTCCAGATTTGTGAATTTTATGGCCCCAGGGTCAGGGGTTCTGGTGTTAGGACAGGGCTCTATTGATTATATAGTGAAAATGCAATTATTCTTTGAAAATCTTTTCCTCTGCTTCTGAGTATTAAATATACTAACTAAGCACATAGTTATGATGAGCAAGAGTGCCTCTTCCAGATTTATGAATTTAATGGCCCCAGGGTTAAGGGTTCTGGTGTTATGGGGGGATGGTTGGGGGCTCTATTGATGATATAGTGAAAATGCATTTATTCTTTGAAAATCTTCTTCTCTGCTTTTGGGTATTAAAAAACTAACTAAGCACATAGTTATGATGAGCAAGAGTGCCTCCTATAAAATTGTGAATTTTATGCCCCCTGGGTCAGAGGAGGAGGGGGGGCTACATAGTCTGAAAATAATTTAATGCTTTTAAACCTGCTCTTTGGTATTATTACATACATTAGCCCTGCAGGGCTGATACGGCTATTGTGACGTCAATATCACACCCTTAGTAAATTAAACCACAATAACAGTACTTGTGATCATACACAATTTTTGGTCGGTTCATATTCTCTTTATTTTAACTTTTTGAAAATAAAAGTTAATCTTAATTTACAAATACATGTAATAGATTATTTTCAAATTACGGATTGTGGACACTTGAAATAGCAATACAGAAACAAACCGAAACTGTTTGAGACAATAGACTGTGTACATTTTAAGAAGTCATGATTATTTAATTATTTTCTTCTCAACTTAACGTGTTCTGTATTTTATTACTAAGTATGTAATAAATATAATAAAACATACCCTTTTCCACATCACATCCTGTATCAGCCCTCGACCAATATCAGCCCTCGGGCCTTCAGCCCTCTGGCTGATATTGGTGGCTCGGGCTGATACAGGATGTGATATGGAAAAGGGTATGTATTATTCTCTATTTAATCAATCATTCTGTTTTAAAATTTGCAAAATTTTGAAATAGGTGGCCCCTGTGTCAGTGGTTCCTTTAGGGTGAGGTGCACAACTGAGTATAAAGTGGAAGCGGATTTTCTCTTTGTTACTCTGATCTACCTCTGGGTATTAAGTAAATAGAGTAAGCATGTTAAGTAAATAATTATGATAAGCAATGGTTCCTCTTTTAAAATCGTGAATTGTGAATTTCATGGCCTCTGATTTAATCCAAATTCAAGTGTTTGAAAGTTGTTACAAATACTCAGGTGACCTATAAGGCCCGTTGACATCTTGTTTTTTTTTTTTTTTGTGGTTTAGCCTCCCTCTCTAGAATTTGGACTCAATGGTTTCATTTCCAATATTGTTAAATGTTTTGCCCTAGGGTCAGAATTTTCTGTGGTTATGATGAGCAATGATGCTACTTTCAAAAGTGTGGATTTCATGGCCTCTAGTTTAAAAACGAACCATATTTAATTGTTGGAAAGCTGTTACATGATACTAAGGTATCCTACATGTATAAGGCCTGTTGCCCGTTGTTTCTCGAGATATAAACATGTATTGTGAACATATTTTATAAAAAAAAAAACATATACTAATACTTATTGTGTTATAACCAAAAAATGCAAGCATTTATCTTTGTCAAGAGTTGTATACACAATGAATAGCAACCTTAAAAGTAATCTTTTGATGATAAATCAAGAATACTGCAATTTCATGCCGTCTAATGTTTTTGTTTTGTTTTAAAGCCATATATGGCGTAACTGATCAAAAAAATATATTTTTGAAAAATACAAAATTAATTAAAGAAATATAATTAATACTTTTAAATTAAAGCTTTTCATACTATTAGGAACACGGAGAACACCTCGTTT